CGTGCTGACAGCTGGTAATACAGGCACTACCAGCTCTCAGTCCATTAGGTGTGTTTCTGGAGTCAAACTATTATGGGAGAATTAAAACAGAAATAGTTTAGCCCACCTCTTAGCAGCTGTTGAGAAATACTGGAAAATAGGAACCCAATGAAGAAATAAATTCTAGGATCCTTTTAAAAACCTGTTTATTTTATAATCATCCTTGTGATTCTGTGAGCCTGACTCATGGATTTTGAGTGTCTGAGATGACTGGCAATAGCTGTGTGACGGCTGTTAAGGCCCTGTAATCTGAAGGCTGGTGAGATGAAGCCTGAATATTTTTGACTTTACAAACATCACCCTTGATGGGTGTCTCCTTTGCCAATCATACATTAAGGATCCCAGTTCCCTTTAGGGTATATTAGGCCCATTACTCTCCCACAGTGCGAGGTGGCTGTTGCAATCATGCAACCTCATCTAGTTTTGCTTTCCTCTTTCTAAACCTCCCTGTAAAGCCTGTCTGCCTGTTTTAATTGGCACTTGATATAACCTCCTTCCAACTGACTCAAAGCTTTTCAGGTTGCCATACAATTTGAACCGCATACTTCTGTTCCTTTTGAATTGCCTGTGTTTTAAATGTTGCACACTCCTTCATCTGTGATAAAACGATCTTTTTGAGATCAACAGCGAGTGATCTTATGTTGCTGAGGAATTGAATCTTGCTGTTTGACTGCTGAAAGGCCTTAAATAATATGGTATTATTTAAAAAGCTTTTAAAGCGATTGCCAGGATGTATTAGTTGTGTTTGTGTCTTTCATTTCTTGCAGCATTACTGACACAAGATGGCCATCTAGCCAGATTACGGAAGCTGGATTTGAGTTACAACAACAACATCTCTGATGAAGGGTGGGTCGTTTTCTGTCAAGGCTTAGCAGTATTCAAAGAACTCTCAGAGCTGGATGTCAGTCTTCGCCCATCGTCCTGCCGGGACTGTGGGACGTGGTTCAGCGAGTTGTTAGCAGCACTGACAAAGCTGCCTGCCTTGGCAGAGCTGGGGATGCAAAGATGGGTCCTTTCAGAATCGCAGCGGAAACAACTGGAAAGCTTTAATCAAGACAACAAAAGAAACATTCGTTTTGACTGTTGATGAAGATTGAAGGTTTCTGGAAGGCCTTTCACAAGCAGCATATGAACCAAGTATTATGTATCGCTGACTTAGAAGACTGCCCAGTTTTTAGCAATCTTGTCTCATCTCATGAGAGCTCTTGAAATAGTTCCATAATTATATAAAACTGTTATTTAACCTTCTACGTGCATAGATCATTCAATTTAATAACATATTCTTTCAGATTCTCTGGGCCATGCTTACACTGCTATGCTGACACTACTATATATGTTTAATCTTCCTGTTGTGAATACAGCCATGACTACTGTCAAAAGAGCAGTGATGATTTCAGATGGACACACTGCAGGTTTGCCAGTGGAGGGAAGTGGCTGGGGTGTGTGCTAATGCAGGTGGGTGGGCAGTGTGAATGTGGCCTTGTGTGTATGAGGAAAATGCCTCTAATGTGAAAATACTTGAAACCTCTGTGTTTTAAATTTTAGAATCTTCTCCTCCAAAACTTTTGCCTCTTTGTGAATGCATTAAGTCTACATAATTGTGAGATTTGGAAAGCATCCCAACAACTCAGGATTATATATTAGTCCAGTAAGGAGAATATAGAAGGAGCTGTTTCTGCCTCTGCTCTGGCCGTTGATGCTATCTCATAGTGTAAATGAGTCCTGTGTACAGAATCAGCATAAAATCAAGGTAAGAAACAGTTGTTTGGTGTCTTTGGATGTCTCAGGGGCAAGGGAAATGCTGTGGTAGGTTAAATCAGAGATATGTCCTGCTACCTTAGCAAGGATTTTGGATACAGAGCAATCCGTAAGCGTTCCAGATAAGGCTATGCAAAGACTTCAGGATACTTGAGGGATGCTCCTTCTCATCCTGAGCTGTTTCAGCCTTACCCAGACTGTGCTTTCTGTACGGACCCTTTTATGATATGCAGCACAAAACCAAACTTCCAGATCTAAGAGTCTGATCAAGAGCATATGAAAGCCAGTGGGAGCCCCTGCAGTGCCTTCATGCTTCCTGCCTTCAGGATTAATCCATTAACCTTCACAACACCTTGTGACATAGACAGTGTTCTTATCCTTACCATAAAGATGAAGGAAATGAGCAAAGTCTATTATTCAAAGCCACAGGGCAGCTTCTAGCTAAGAGCAGAGCACCCTGCTCTATGCCCAAGACTTAGAAAAAGCACCAACTTGGGACATGTAAGTGGCTCCTCCTTTTTTCATTTGATAATTTCTTATTTGGCATTTTATTGTATTTGCTTACACAGAGCCAAATTCTGGCATAGTCACTCGTGTCATGGAGCATGTTGACCCACACGTGAGCTCAAAGACTGCAGTGGGATTATTCATTGGTAAGGTATTTTAGGAAGTAAAGATATTAGATCTGCCCACTGAGTGAGGAGTCTTAGAGAAATCCTGAGGCAGCTTGAGGGATAAAGTACTGCTCAATTAGCCCTGAGTATATCTACATGCTGCAGCAGTCTCCTGGAGGAGAGGCACATCAGGATCATTCAGTGGCAGTTTCCTAACTTGCTAGGACCCCTCTCAACAAGTTCTCCCATGCAGATGCAAGTCAATATTCAGCTTTCAGTCCGGCTGACCCTTCCAACAGCGGTCAGGGTTATACCAGCAGCTAAGCCTGCTGTGCTGATACCTCTTGATCATTTAATCCATGATTTCATGTGACGGTCTCTATGGACTTCCTGGTTCCAGTTTCAGTTCCACTTGAAAAGTGCACTTGGCTCCCCCAGCTCTGAGAAATGTGAGATGAACTGGAGTGCCTTGGTCAGATAGCAGGGAATTGCTGCCCAGTGGGATCAGTTATTTTCTACAGAGATCTTCAACCTCTGAAATGAAGCAAAGAGCCCCTGTTTCATACAGCGATAACAAGAGAGACTTTCAAGCAGTTACTCAAGCCAGGAGAGTTATTCTAATGGGGAAGTACCATCATCTCTGTTTAACAGCAGCACACCAACCTCTTCTCTTAATCACTTGCCTTCCTGTGCCTTTCCTCCTCAAATCTGCCTTTGGTCCAACTGGGAAATCGATCCTTTATCTGCTCTGTGAGAATCTCTCTGAATCACTCCTTTCCCACTTGAACCTCTCTCTCTAATTCAGTAAAGCAGCCGGCCCATGTTTAATGTCCGGTATCTGGGCTGTTGTAACCTTACTGACTGAACGGGACTTCAGTGTTGGGGTTTCTTGCTTTGTCATAGTGGGGTTCCTCATTCTCAGCTCCAGACCGTGGTACGGACTTGCTGCTAGCAACCTCTCCACTTGCTGTTCATGATCCCCTTCTCAGTCCTTCGCCCTCTCATGATTCTGTCATACCTATTGTGCCACTAAAAAGCTTTCATTAAATCACTTCTATTAAATGTCCTGTCTAACTGCCAGTCTTCCCGGAAACCTCTCTCTTCCAGTGATTGCCTCCTCGGTAGTCTCTGAATCATCCTTCTCTCTCTTCCTCATTGCCTTCACTTAGGGTGAGAAAATTTCATGAGACACCTCCAAACAGTCAAAACAGCATCGATTATGTAGTGAAATTGAAAACCAAAACTAAGCCATCCCATTTTTCTGCACCACCAGCTCTCTCCTGCCAACAAGTGTATTAATGAGATTTCAGTATCGATCGATTCAAGAGCCAAACGGAAATGAGATCCATCCCCTGGATGCAGATGTAGCCACAGCATCCAGAGAGCACTACCCGGAGGTGGAGCTCTAGGAAGAGCTGCGTCTCAGTGACCTGCCTTCACCACCTCCTTCCAGATGCCACCACCTTCTCTGAGGCAACTCAGACCAGGGGAGGGAGAGCAGGACTGCAGTTCTTACCCGCCAGTTAAACTAAATAAAGGGTTCTGCTCCCACCCACTCGTGCATTTTGAATCTGCACAGTGGCCGGTCCCAGTCCAGCTCTGTGCTTTATGTATGCTGCAAATAAAAATCTGGAGGGGTTTAAGGAGTAACTGAGCAATGCAGAATAAAAACTAGACAAGGACATCAGATGCGTAGGACAAACGGCTGCCTGTAAAGTGCTGTGGAAAGACACGGTTGCATATAGATTTGGCATTCTAGAATTATAGTAAGGAGTGTTTGTCATGGTTCTTTTGAATAACAAAGGTGTTATGACATGCCAGGACCCAGAATCATTGCAGAATATTGCATTCTGCAGACTCTCTGCTTTCAAATAAGCCTGTCGTACACAGACATTTTACAAACTGTCACCAAGCTATCTCAGAGATGAGCTATAACACTAAGGATTTGACAGCTTGCAGTCATTCAAAACATGATAACTACAGAGTGTCAAAACATCAGTGAACAGTTTTGCAAAAGTGTAGAGATACTTACAAATCAGCTTTTGACACCTCTGTAAGACAGGATGGTAATGCAGGTTCTGGTAGAAGTACATATGTTCTGACTGCCTGGAATCCTCCTCCATATTCCAAACAAGGTATTGATCATTTCTGAATGTAAAACTCATTAAGTAACTGCTAGTAGGTGGGGCCACAAATATTGTTTCACTCTAGATATGGCTGTACCTCACTGACTGGAAAACAGATTTCTAAGAATTGCATGTAAAATACTTTGCAATTCAGAACAAGGAACACATCATTGCACCAGATTCCTACAGATTACCTTAATTTCCACTTAATCAGCTGCCTTGATGCTCTGAGATAACATACATTCAGAATGAGGCATCTCAAGAATATTTCAGAATCTGTCTGATTCAGCTGGAGTCAATGTTGACAAAAACACAGAAACAAACCTCAAAAAATCATCTGTTTTCATCGTAACACTCACTGATTCAAATGCTTTAATACTGCTTGTCTCCTACTCCCTTATCTCTGCTCACATTTGCCCTTCTTGTAAATGAAAAGAGGTCTCTGCAGTTTATTGCCCAAATATCACTTTTTGGCTTCTGATCCTTTTACAGGCTTCTCTTTTCCCTTTCCTTTTCCTTTCTTTTCCATCTTTCTTTTTTTCATTAGATTCTTAAGTGTCAGGAAAGGTCCAATCCCCTTCTGGTTCATCAACCCACGCTACAAACTTCGGATCTGGAAAAGAGAGAAGAACAATCTGGTTACCTGGAGGAAAAGGGTAAAAGCAAACAGTCATGTGGAACAGTATTACTGGTGGATATTCTTGATGCAAAAAGGCAGGCATATTGTGGTCTCAAAAAAACCCCTTTTATTCCGTATTAGACTACATTGTTTGCAGCTGAGGTAGACTGCCAGCCACCTGACTTTTCTTTTACTCTGTGTGTTATTTTTTGCAAGAGGAGTTTCTTACCAGGGAGGACACTAACACTGTAGTCCTTCAGACCCTTTGATTAGAGCAGTAAATGACTATGTCTACACATCTTTAAATGTCACCTTTTAGTTCAGAAGAACAGTTTGGGAGAAACACATTAGTTCATGAAGAAATTACAGACATTACAGAAAGAGAGGAATAATTTCATTTCAGAAGAATCAAAGACTGAGGATTTGCCTTTCCTTCCTTCTTGCCCTGTATTTTTTCTGAGCAAATTACTTCTATGGCCCACTGGTAATACAAACTGATGTTCTTTTGGGGAAAAAAAACCAAACAAAACCACACAAAAAATGTGTTTTGTTCAATGTGTTTGCACAATGGATCTTCAACTCTCTACAGTCAAAATACAGTCAGCAAGACTGGAAAATGCCACCTGCAGTTTGTTTCATCTATAAGCAATGCCTGGACTTAGAGGATCTGCCTCGTTTTTAGACACAGTAACCCTTCCACTGGACAGGGAACTAAGGGAAGCTCCATTGCAAGCTGTAAGGGCTGTTCTGACCCTGCTGACTGTGGCCTGGCGGGGCAGTGGCAGCCTTCTGGAACGTTTTTGAATGATGCCCAGTGCTGTATTTCCTGATGGTTCCCTGTATCCTACCTTAACGTGATCAGTGACAGAAGTACTGCGCTGCCATAGCTGATGGAAGCAGTGCTTTAAGACATTTTTGATGTTGCATCGAGTGCCCCGTAGGTTGTTCTGCAAAGTATCTATTACTAAAACCACAGCTTTGTATGTGTATTGTGCTGGCTTTCTTAACACCCCTGTCGTTAAGTTCATGGCCTTTTTATACCTTTTTTCCCTTAAGTATTCCCAGATGGCAGATGTCCCCTGACAGCACATTTCAATTGGGGGTCTGTCATAGGGTTCCCATCCACAAGGACCAGCTCCAGCTGCTGAAGACTGTCCAGATCCTCCGGCAGCCGGGACAGGTGGTTGTTCTGAACAAGCAGTTTTTGCAAACCTGAACACGCAAAAGCAGAGAGCTGCAGCACAAAGAACAGGAATGATGAGGAGCCTTCCTGCGTGCTCCCCCTCCACAGCACATGGATGCGGCCCCCACCATTCAGT